GGTTGAAAAGTTGTTTTTCTATAATTAAGGGAGAGAATATTATACTTCATTTCAAATCTAAAAGATTAGATCGAGAAATTTTAATCAAATTTAGTCAAAGGACATATATGAACGTTATGTTGAAAAGGTTCGACATAAGGGAAATTCTATATATGGCAATATTATAGCAAGAGACTGGTATAGCATCATGTCTTTATGTAAGACTTTATGTATCGTATCCCAATACGCTTCGGGGTATAGGATTGATTGCATATGCTGTAATATTCAACCGTTTTGTCTATTCCAAATGCCTAGGGCATTAAGTGGAAAAGGGACCAGAACCGGATATGACAAAAATTAGTTAAACAACTGTCAAGGACGGTCTAAGGTTCGCTAAGGATTGGTCACTTGTGGGCAGTTGGAAGTATAGTATTTGATGGAACATATCGACATTATTATGAATAGATACGATTCTATTTAGAATGAGTTGTCATATGGCAAATATGGAAATGTTTCCATAATGGGAGTTGGATATTAAGAATCTATGTGTAGGTTAGAAACTTTTATGCAAGAAGGATGTTCAAAGGAATGTACTTTGAATGTGAGACTTCATATCTATGGAATTGTCTTGTAACAATCTCCGATAGAGCACTTTGTAATATCATTGGCAAAGTCTTTATGACGTTTGTGTTGTGACATTACAAAAGGGTCATTACATGAAATGTTAGAATCTAACATATTCTAAGAGTGGCAAGAATTTGGTATTCTTACACTTGTGATAAAGATTGGGAATTATGAAATGAGCATCATTGGAAATGTGTTGAATTGATCCATTTCACAAAGTAAGGACCATAAATAAACATAGTTGCATGCTTGGAGCATGAGATAACTATTGTTTCAATTCAAGTATTAAGTTGATTATCCGAAACGTTATATAATGAATAATGTGTAATCGATATGGTGATTAAATAAAAGGTGTTTTATTTATACTCAAGAGTTTGAGGCCGTATTGGATTCGATTATTCTTGTGTTTCACTTTGCATGTTTTGACTTCCAGAATAACTAGGTTATTCAAACATCCTCAGTCAATCATACTTTGGAAGTAGGTAATGAGGTAAGACTGTCATAAATCCGACTGTAGATTGTCTAAGTGTTTAGGCATAGCAAAAGTCTGCTGTAGTGTTCACGAGTGCTCCTGAAATAAGATTTGAGTATTGGATTAAACCCACGCTCACGTGAATCACTTCATGGATTTTATCACGAGTGATTGTGAGATGCTAATATCTTATATTCTTGAAACAGAGTCATGTGAGTTGTAGTTTGCAAGTCGGTTGCACATTGACGTATGTAAACGCACTAGTAACTTGGTGTTATAAAACATATTGTTGTGTGTGATTCGATGAGTAAGTACAAGCAAGCATTTGAGTCGAAGTTATTCGTTCCTTTTTACCCTAAGAGGGATAAAAGCGATATATGTGGGCCCTCGGTGATTTAGTGATGACACCCTAAGCGTTTGGCCAAGCCTGGACTAAGTTGATGTGTTCAACTGAAGTCTATTGTCAGTCGTCTTAAATCAGAAATCGGAAAACAACACATAGATAGAGAGAATGATTATAATCCATGTCTCATGTCTATACGATATCTAGAATGGAGGAATATATGATCCCTTATCTAAAGGACGCGTTTATGATAAAATCAGAGTTCGACAACGGCTTTTGAAAGCTACGATTGCTAATCAAATTCTGAGGTCATACGCAATAATAGTTATTAGACTTATCCAAGTGGGAGACTGTTGGATTAGGTGTCTAAGCCCATAACTATTTTGGTATGTACTTGATTTGATTATGAGCATGGTCCTTTTGGGTTGCCTTCACTCATGCAACTTGATAGGATGAGAAGAGGAGAGAGAGTAGAATTTATTATATGAATAATAAATTTGTACTGAAAGTGGTTTTATTAATACATTACAAGAATAATATATTATTTGGAAATCATATTATTTAACTAGTATTGATCATAAATTAATTTGGAGTTAATTAGGTGATCAAAAGAGACTGATTAAATAAAGGGGACTGATATTGTAATTATTTTATAGTTGCAATTGGGCTGACGGATTACCTTGGAATAAGGTTGGACGAATTCTATGGGAAGCCCATAAGGAATTCGTCCAAGGGTTATTCTAGAAGGGGTCTATGGGTTGCTTAAGGCCTAAGCAGTCACATTAGGGTTTCCACCTAAAATCCTAGCAGCCACAAGTATAAATAGACTCCATTACAAGGGATTTTGGTCCAAGGCTTTAAGAAACCCTAGAGTGGTCGAAATCCTCCTCTCTCCTACATCATCCTTTGCATAGAGTGTTTGTGACTTCATTAGAGGTGCAACACTTGGGGCACTAGACTTTCAGAAGTCAATATCAAGAAGGATTGAACTTGTTATTGCTACATAACAAGAGAGGTAAAGTTTCTAACCCTAATCATATGTTAATTTCGATATATGTATGCTAGTCATAGGGTTATTGCTTTGGTATTCAATATTGTATGTTCAATTTAGAAAAACCCATATCAAAGCAATTAGGGTTGCATGTATACCATATGAATGATTTTTTGCTTATAACCCAACAAAAATAACATAAAGCATATTTACAAATTATTTTTTATATATACAAAATAATTTTTGGGGGATGTTGTAGTACCATCACCACTCATATGTAGGGTGGGTGGGTTGTATTTTATTTTAATAAAAATAATTAGAAAAAAATAAAAGAAATTAAGCAATAATTGTATAAGGGCATATTCATATATTCATCATTTCTGAGTGTGTACCAAAACCAGATTGAGTGTGTACCAAAATCATATAAAAATTTCAATCATAAGGACCAAAACCACACAAGGTATCTAAAATTAGATCACTGATGTACCATCAAACATTTTTGAACCAAAACCATATAATTTTGACAATCATAAGAAATATTTTTAGAATTTTGTGTATACATATAGTATATGTGTATGGCTATCAAGTATCATCATATACGTACATGTAACTTCAAAAAAAACTATACCTTCAATAAAATTAACTTAGGACATGATACATGATAACAAGATTACAATCCCGTTAGACTAAAAATAATTGACATATTTTCAATCATTTGTTAACTATAAGGGTTTAAATGCCACTCTTTTATTAAAATTGAGGCTTAAAATATTGGACCTTCCGGTTGATGTATATATTTATGAGAAATTAAGTGATCTAAGCACTTTGAAAAAAATAACTTAATATTTTAGAAAAGAATAATAATAACCATTTTGTCCGGAATGGGGTATTCTGGACCAAGAGAAAACATTTTTTGACTAATTCTGGAATGCCATTTTGGATTCTGGACCAACATTCCGACTTCCGTATTAACATTTCAGATTTCGGTAAAAAAAACTCTGAAATTTCAAGAACAAGTCTGAAATCCAAATAATAGTTTCGAAACTTCTAAAAAATCGTTTTTTTTCTTAAATTAACAAAGAGTTTTAAAAAAACATATTAATGTGAACTATATACGATATTAGTATATGAACTTAGACATTTTATTGAGAAGTGGTGACATTAAACATTTAAAAATAGAATATATATTTTTTTGAAAATAAGTATTTTATTAAAAAAACTCTGGAACATGAACAGTGTAAACTATAACTCGGCACTCCGAAGAAACTGGTTATTTTTTAAAAACTGAAAAAATATAGTTATTTTCTTCGAAAACCTCATTTATAATGTTTAAATTACTCAATTTCCCTATATTTATTTTCTATAAAATAACTAAACAAACCATATTTTAGCTCAATATTAAGGACAATAATCCAATATGTTCTGTTGAAAAATAATCACCTAAGTCCAGAATGGGCAACTGTGCATCAATTCAGACACCGTACAAAATATTTACTTTCTGAAAAAAAAATCGTACTAAATAAGTTTCAGACTGATATAGCGGATTTCGGACCAAAATTCCAGATTTTGAAAAAAAAACTAAAAAATCACTAGAACAAGTACGAAATCTGATTTAAAACATTCCGGAATTTTAAGAAAACATTTCATTTTTTTACTAAAAAACCAACAAAAAGTTAAAGAAACATACCAAATGAAAGTGTAAACGATACAAGGACTTAAAAACAAACAAATGATTAAAACGATAATATTAATTGTCAATATAAGACTAACCGTTTGGTAGATATTTTATCTCTTAGATTGAATGTCTCTAGTGCTAACCTAAATGTTGACTTCTCCCAGAAAAAAAAAAAAACGGTGATATTAATTATTAAACCTTTGAAATGGACTTTTAAAATAATTTTTCAAAAACTAATTATTTTTATTATTTTCTTAAAATTAAAAGAAAAATATCAGACAAAACTTCATAAATTGTCCCCGTGGTTCTCAAAAATCTGAAGTTTGGTTCCTAAGTTCAAAAAACATTACAGATGGTCCATGTAGTTTCAAAACTTTTAACAAACGGTCATTTGAGCTAACTCCGTTAGATTTTGGTTGTTAACTATTATTTGATTATATTATTCGAAGGGCATTTTCGTCATTTTACTATAGAGACCATTTATGATGTTTTGTCTTATTTAAAAAAAAATATTTATTTAATTCTCTCTCTCTCTCTCTCTCTATACCAAGAACATGAATACCAAACCGTTTGTTCTTCATGTAGCCAACCCAAAATCAAGATTCCATTAATTGAAATTAACAAAATCCACAAATACATTTAATTAGAATAACAATTCCACATTTTATTTTATATGAATTGGATCAATGAATTTCCCTAATTCATATTTCATTCTTTATATTCATCTTACTAATCCTATACTATTTATTAGAAATCAAACATTTATGTAAAGGAAGATTCAGGAAAGATGATCATCATCAACTCTTTAACATCATCTCTTAGAACTCCTCCAAATTGACATATCTATCACCGTCAGAATCCACCGTCTTGATCATTGTCACGCAATCATCAACCGTACATCTTTCCCCCAAGCAACTTAAGATCTGATGAACCTAGTTGACGAGATCAACCCATTCTTGTTCAAATCGTAAAGTTCAAACGCATCATGGAGCTCGTTGATTCCTACCTCTTGGTCTCTGGTGTTTTCTTTGTAGAATCCGATGAACTCCTCGAGGTTGATGAAGTCGTCACAGTCTGCGTCGAGTTTAGCCATCACTTGCTTCGCCTCTTCAGTAGAGATGTCGGATCCTAGTGCCTTCACAGCGTGGACGAGCTCCTCAACAGAAATCTTTCTGTCACCATTGGTGTCGAAACGGCTGAAACCTCTAATTCCATTCCGATTCATGTTCAAGTTCAAGTTCAAGTTCAAGCGCCTAAAACCTATGATTCCATTCTGATGCCAATTATCAATTGAACCCCACTCTTTGTTAACATCATTATCGAGCTTTATCAGAAATCAATATTAACACACTGAAATCAAAAAAATGTTTCTAACATAGTACTTCCACCAAACAAATGCAATCAAAACTTGAGCATATCGAATTAACACACCTGCAAATCAAATCTTGAACAGATACAAACCTGATTGGAACGAAAGAGAAGATGTGTTGTAGTCGCAGGAGGAACAAGAGCCAACACACATACAGACACACACACAAGTGTATAGGAGTTTTACCAACTAGGGAGTTGATTTTAGTTCTGAATTCACTTACGCACCCACGATTTCATCGAATCCTTTCGTTTTCTCGAAACTGCACTCGAGTTTGTTGCTTACGAAATTGATATCTTCAAGTCTGATTATGTGGTCAAGAATGTTAATGGGATGATTCATAGGATGATAATCGAAACACCAAACCCTCGATTTCTTGTCACTAAGGGAAGACGGAATCGTCCCCGTCCTTCCCGCTACCCGCCAAACCCTTTGTGGAGGGAGTCGAACCCGCCTAAACCGCATCCCTCCCAACCCATCTTCCCTATTTTTCTTATGTGATTCAACCCTCCAGCGGTTTCTTGAACTCGCTCAACACCCTCTCTTTCTCTCTTGCTCTCCTGCCGGTGCTCCCTCTTCTCCATTCTGGTCAAAGCCGCTCAACAAAACCACTACCATTCCGTTCTCCCTAAGGATGAAGACGAAGGGCAGGGACAAAGATAAGTTTGGTGGGATAGAAAACGGGTTGGGGGTTAGGTTTAATATATATATATATATATATATATATATATATATATATATATATATATATATATATATATATATATATTAAATAAGACAAAAATGAAATTACGGAAATGCCCTTCGAATATTATAATAAAAATATGGTTAACGGCCAAAAAGCTAACATAGTTAGTTAGCAAAAATGACCGTTTGTTAAAAGTTTTGAAACAATAGAGACCATTTGTGAGGTTTTTGAACTTAGGGACCAAACTTCAGATTTTTGAAAACAATAAGAACCATTTATCAAGTTTTGTCAAAATATTATTAGTTTAACTATTTTCCTTTTATTTTCATCATAATAGATTTCACAAACTATTTTTGCGAGACTTGCAATATTAAATGAGACTTTTGTAGCAGTCCTTCGTCAATACATTCTCAATAAAGTAATATAATTATAATATATACAATTCATAATTTGAAATGCAATGTTACTCTTATTTTAATTAAGTTTCAACTCTCAATCAAACAGGCAAAAACAAATCTGCTAACCATAAACAAAAATAATATTAGCTATAACTAAATGTCCATATTAAAAAAAATGAAAAAGTATACCAAAATCGTTACGCATTGCAATGTATGTGGTTGAATATGGATTTCTCAATTTCTTTATAATGAATCCCGATTTTGAATTGTTGTCTGCGAATCATAATGTTGAATTTGAGCATTGGAGTTGATTCTTGATGAAATTGCAAATGCAATGTTTTCATTTGTATGTCTTATCATTGGGTTCTGTTGGCTTTTGTCAGATGGGCATGCATTATTACATAACTCAGCTAACCTTCATCAGTGGGTTTGATACTTTGACATGCTTTCTCTTTGTTGGTACATTTGTTAACTACATATGTTGATCAGGGGATTGATACTTAATTATGGGGTTAATTACATGATGTTTGGCATACGGCTTTGTGTAATATTCTTCGAATTTGATGTTTTTTTTTTGTTGTTGGTTGCGTTGTAGTGGCCAGTGTTATTGGTACAGGTGTTTGATGTTGGCTTAGTATGTAAAATTGTTATCATGTATGATGTTGTTAATTAGGTAAATTATTGTAGTTTAACTTGATGATTTTTAGTGAAATTTGTCATCTTATACCTTTTTGAGCTTATGTTCGTTTTGAGTTTAAGTTCTTGCTTTTTGATAGGGCTTTGGATTAATGCAACGGGATGTCCACTGTTAGTGAGCATGTATCCTCTAATTTTTTTAAATAAGTTATTTATCTCTTTACTTCATCACCAATTCATCACTACCACTTATATGTCAGTTTTTTTCTTCTAAATCCAATTGTATTCTTAAATCTATTGATAGAATTGTTGTGTTCAAAATAAAGATATTTTTATGATTTATCATGTTTGGATGCATTTTTCATTAGTCTATCATGTCTTTTTTTTTTCTAGAATCAGTTAGCTTTATTCTTATCAGTTGAATTTAAGTTACACTTAAACAAGTATGTTTGCCTATGGAATTGCATCGAATATAATGTAAAGTGATGGGTTTTGATTCTCTATTGAGTAGCTCCAATGGAAGATCAAATTACATTGTATGGGTTTTGAACTCTAATGGAGTTGAATTTATTTTTCCCATTGTGACTAGACATCATTATCTTTAATGTTCTTGACCTTTTTTGCAACATATGATATCTCTTGTCTATTTGTGTGTTTAGGTTCAAACAACAAGAGGTAAATATAAAGGCATGTGAAAACCATCAAAAAACAAAGGCATATAGATTCTTCAAGAATGATGACAAATTCTTAAAAATGATGACAGAGTCTTAAAAAATGTATTATATATCATATTCTTTTTTTGTATATTTTTGCAAAATGATGTCAAATTCTTGAAAATATAGCATAGAAGGTTGTGTATGTTCTTTAAAATGTTGTATATACATTCTTGTTTTACGTTTACTTATTCTGATTGTTAACATTCATTCCCACTCTTTCTTGTTCTTACAAAATATGATAAAAAGAATACAAAGCATGATCATATTCTCATACAATACTTTCTGATTTGTAAAATTCTGATTTTTTTTGTTACCTTTTACATTATTCTTAGAAGAATATTTCAATTGTACAAAAAGAATTATTTTTATTTTTATGCAAAGTTTTATCATTAAAAAAATATATACAAGAATATTCTTTAAGAATTTTAATTCTCAAACAATCACTAGACTGTAGTTAGAGTTTTTAAGAATGAAAGAACTATATATATTCATGGTTATATGATCTGAAACAATGTTTCAAGAAAAAATGGTTAGCTAATATGGATTTAAAAAAAAAGAATGGTAACTCCATAAATAATAGTAACTTCCTCACTTGGTATTGAATAAAAATTTCTACAATGCCCTTTTATAAAAGTTTTTTAGAAAAAAAAACATTGTTAATTTGTGATGTATCACACAATAACTATGGTATATGATAACAATCTTAGTCATTAAGAATTATAATCTAAGGGTCTAAATCTAGTCATACAATCACACAATACTTGTAATTTACATTTATTCATAACCCTATATATATATATATATATATATATATATATATATATATATATATATATATCATTATATATATATATATAGGGCTAGGTTATAATGTGGATGGACAACTATTGTGTGGACGTGTGGATAATGCTATTTTATGAAAATTACTAAGAGAATATGTTGTTTAGTAATGTGAATACGTTCAATCTCACAGAACTATTGTTATTTTAATGGATTCTCACCAATTCTAATTCATTTTTGTTCTCATGCATCGTTTTTTATTTATTTTAATTCTTACAGAATACGACTCAATAAACATCCAGATAACATTCTGACAGAATGAGAATAATTAAAAAAAAAGTGTATAATAACCTTATAGACGATTTAATTAGTGAAAATGCTTAATAATTACAATAATTATATAAGATTGAACGTATTTATATTATCAAACAACATATTTTCTTTGTCATTCTCAAAGAATAGCATTATCCACACGTCCACACAATAGATGTCAATCCACATTTGAACTTATCTCTCTCTCTCTCTCTCTCTCTCTATATATATATATATATATATATATATATATATATATATATATATATATATATTAGTTACATTCGGGTCTATATATTTTAAATTTGTATATATAACAGGTATAACTATCTAAGACACCCATGTATTTGGAACAGGAGATTCTCGAATGTTCAAAGTATTTTTGAAATAAAGAAAAATTGTTTAAGATAGACCCATATGGAATATGTGGAACACGCACATGACCAATCGCAACACACACACACGTACAAAACCAATTTAATAGTGTGATAGATTTTTTTGGTACGATGGTAGCATAAAATCACATCATTAACAAAATAAAAATTATTTTCGCATTAATAAACTATAAAATCGCAGCATATAAAACATTTATTGATGCAGTTTCCATATAAACACATTAAAAACCATTTATTGTTGCGTTTACTTCAAAATCACATTATTAAACATTCGCTTCCCTCCATTTTGTTCTCGGGCGATGCTTTCCCTTCCAATTTTTTCATACCCCATCGCCATTTCTTTCCTTCAAATATTTCGTTCTCTCATTTCTAAACTAAAGGGAAGACGACGACGTCCTGCTTCAACCGACGACTTCCTCCTCCTGCTCTAGTACAAAATCTAAAAACCCTAGCTTCGATTTTTTTAGATTGTTAGTATGTTCCGGATTGTTTATATTCTTAAATAGTTAAATGTTTTGATTTTTCATTTCTTCACTGATTTCACTTTGGTTCGTACATATACACACCTCAGAAGACCCCTTTCCCTTGTTCTCTTTAGTCTCTTGCCGACATATTACGTTGACGATTTCATGGAATTATAACACATGCACAACAAGGTAACCTCCACTCCGGGAGACAACAACCCTTTCGAACGACGTAATTTCATCAAGTCTAAAATTCCTGATTTTTAACGGTTCAAAGAATGGTAAGTAATAAAAAGTCTCTATTTTTGTCCTCTATTAATCCGTATGTATTGTATGTTTGTGTGAATATGATTGATTCGCAAGACCTAATTGATCAGTTTTGGTGGAAATCAAAAGGGGTAAACATGTGATAGCTTGAGTCTTTTATATGTTTATTTCTTCGTAAAGATGATTTTGTGCTTACAGCT